AAAGCGGAGCTGCCACGGAAAAATCGCCACCTCGGCGAAATCGTCATTTTTCTCAAAACTCAAAATCAAAACCAGCCATAGAATCGTTTTCAAAATGCTACCATTAGAATTACCGCATCGCTGGACGTTTCTTTCTATTAACTCTTTCTTTGCTAATTTGCAAAATTAAGCCTTTTACACATATATTTACCGAGATACAGCCAATTCAAATATCAAACATATCATCATGTTTTCTCAACATATTATTAAGAAAAATGAGTTGATGAGCAAGTATTAATAATTATAATCAGCCTAATAATAAATGGATATTAAAAAATTATGAATTTATTTCTTCGTCATTTATGTAGACACTTTTTTCATATCTTCAAGCCTATAACAGCCTACAATCACTGTGTAGAAAATTTCTCTGTCTACAATGTCATCAGGATGTTGGATATCCACTAGAGTAAGTCCTGCCTGAATCAGGATGTTGGATATCCACTGGAGAGTCCTGCCTGAATCAGGATTTTCAATATCCACTGAAGAAAGTCCTGACAGAATCAGGCTGTTGGATATCCACTGGGGAAAGTCCTGGTTGAATCAGGATATTCCATATCCACTGGAGAGAGTCCTGCCTGAATCAGGAAGTTGGACGTCCACTGGAGAGAGTCCTGCCTGAAACAGGATGTTGGATGTCCACTGGAGAGAGTCCTGCCTGAATTAGGATGTTAGATATCCACTAGAGGGAGCCTCAATTATTCTTTTGGATATCCTTGATCCTGACGACAATGAAAGCATATCTGAGAGCTGTTGATATCCTGCACTCTGAATATTGTAGAAGGCATCGCATCTATGGATATCTGCTTTCCTTTGATATAATTCTAGTATGTTGTGCCTCAGTGGGAGTCCTATATACTTGTTACAGCCGCCGGATTCCTCCGCGGGTATTCTACATCCTGATTATATTGTAGGATGTCCATCATCCTGAGATATCCAATATGATTAAAATAATGAGGGCAAATTCCTCATAGTGGACATCTAGCATCATGATCAAGGCAGGACTCTCTCCAGTGGACATTAAATATCATGATTCTGGCAGGACTGTCTCCAGTGGAGATTCAACATCCTAATTGAGGCCGAACTCTCTCCAGTTGATATCCAACATCCATATTCAACCAGGACTCTCTCTCCAGTGGATGTCCAACATCATGATTCAGGCAGGACTCTCTACAGTGGATATCCAACATCCTGATTCAGGCCAGGACTCTCTCCAGTGGACATCCAACATCCAGATTCAGGCAGGACTCTCTCCACTGGACATCCAACATCCTGATTCAGACAGGACTCTCTCCAGTGGATATCCAACATCCTGATGACAATGTAGACAGAAATTTTCTACACAGTGATTGTAGGCTGTTATAGGCTTGAAGATATAAAAAAAAGTATCTACATAAATGACGAAGAAATAAATTCATAATTTTTTAATATCCATTTATTATTAGGCTCATTATAATTATTAATACATGCTCATCAACTCATTTGTCTTAATAATATGTTGAGAAAACATGATGATGTGTTTGATATTTGAATTGGCTGTATCTCGGTAAATATATGTGTAAAAGGCTTAATTTTGCAAATTAGCAAAGAAAGAGTTAACAGAAAGAAACGTCCAGAGGTGCGGTAATTCTAATGGTAGCATTTTGAAAACGATTCTATGGCTGGTTTTGATTTTGAGTTTTGCGAAAAATGACGATTTCGCCGAGGTGGCGATTTTTCCGTGGCAGCTCCGCTTTGCGCCATCTTTTGACAATTATTTACTGATTTAACTGACCACTGAGCTGTGTGGCCGTCAAGATGGCGCAAAGCGGAGCTGCCACGGAAAAATCGCCACCTCGGCGAAATCGTCATTTTTCTCAAAACTCAAAATCAAAACCAGCCATAGAATCGTTTTCAAAATGCTACCATTAGAATTACCGCATCGCTGGACGTTTCTTTCTGTTAACTCTTTCTTTGCTAATTTGCAAAATTAAGCCTTTTACACATATATTTACAGAGATACAGCCAATTCAAATATCAAACATATCATCATGTTTTCTCAACATATTATTAAGAAAAATGAGTTGATGAGCAAGTATTAATAATTATAATCAGCCTAATAATAAATGGATATTAAAAAATTATGAATTTATTTCTTCGTCATTTATGTAGACACTTTTTTCATATCTTCAAGCCTATAACAGCCTACAATCACTGTGTAGAAAATTTCTCTGTCTACAATGTCATCAGGATGTTGGATATCCACTAGAGTAAGTCCTGCCTGAATCAGGATGTTGGATATCCACTGGAGAGTCCTGCCTGAATCAGGATTTTCAATATCCACTGAAGAAAGTCCTGACAGAATCAGGCTGTTGGATATCCACTGGGGAAAGTCCTGGTTGAATCAGGATATTCCATATCCATTGGAGAGAGTCCTGCCTGAATCAGGAAGTTGGACGTCCACTGGAGAGAGTCCTGCCTGAAACAGGATGTTGGATGTCCACTGGAGAGAGTCCTGCCTGAATTAGGATGTTAGATATCCACTAGAGGGAGCCTCAATTATTCTTTTGGATATCCTTGATCCTGACGACAATGAAAGCATATCTGAGAGCTGTTGATATCCTGCACTCTGAATATTGTAGAAGGCATCGCATCTATGGATATCTGCTTTCCTTTGATATAATTCTAGTATGTTGTGCCTCAGTGGGAGTCCTATATACTTGTTACAGCCGCCGGATTCCTCCGCGGGTATTCTACATCCTGATTATATTGTAGGATGTCCATCATCCTGAGATATCCAATATGATTAAAATAATGAGGGCAAATTCCTCATAGTGGACATCTAGCATCATGATCAAGGCAGGACTCTCTCCACTGGACATTAAATATCATGATTCTGGCAGGACTGTCTCCAGTGGAGATTCAACATCCTAATTGAGGCCGAACTCTCTCCAGTTGATATCCAACATCCATATTCAACCAGGACTCTCTCTCCAGTGGATATCCAACATCATGATTCAGGCAGGACTCTCTACAGTGGATATCCAACATCCTGATTCAGGCCAGGACTCTCTCCAGTGGACATCCAACATCCAGATTCAGGCAGGACTCTCTCCACTGGACATCCAACATCCTGATACAGACAGAACTCTCTCCAGTGGATATCCAACATCCTGATGACAATGTAGACAGAAATTTTCTACACAGTGATTGTAGGCTGTTATAGGCTTGAAGATATAAAAAAAAGTATCTACATAAATGACGAAGAAATAAATTCATAATTTTTTAATATCCATTTATTATTAGGC